CCGTTCCTAGGCCTTTTGGACACTGGCGCTGACGCCACAGTCATAGCAAAAAAATATTGGCCTAAATCCTGGCCACTGGAACCCACAGTAACTCACCTAAAGGGCATAGGTCAGATTCAAAATACCTTACAAAGTTCTAAGTTTCTCCAGTGGACAGACTCGGAAGGAAACTCGGGGACAGTGAGGCCCTTCGTGGTTGAAGGGTTGCCAGTTAACTTGTGGGGAAGAGACATTATGACCCAGATGGGGGTCATTATGATGAGCCCTAATGACAAGATAACTCAAATGATGCTAAAGACTGGTTTTTTGCCAGGCAGAGGACTGGGAAAACATGAGCAAGGATGTACCCAGCCCATTATACCCATTCCTAAATTAGACAGAAGGGGATTAGGGACAGACCTTTTTTCCTAAGGACCACTGCTCCTCCTGCACGCCAAGCCGATAAAATAACTTGGAAGTCTGATGAGCCGGTTTGGATAGAACAGTGGTCCATGCCTTCAGAGAAAGTTCAGGCTGCCCTTCAGTTGGTGCAGGAACAGTTAGAGCAAGGACACCTTGAACCTTCCACCTCCCCCTGGAACACCCCTATTTTTGTAATAAAGAAAAAAACGGGCAAATGGAGGTTATTACAGGACCTTAGAGAAGTAAATAAAACAATGGTTCCCATGGGGGCATTACAGCCTGGATTGCCTTCCCCTGTAGCCATTCCTAAAAAATACTTTAAAATTGTTATAGATATTAAAGACTGCTTTTTTTCCATTCCCTTACACCCTATGGATTGTAAACGATTTGCCTTCTCCATACCCGTTGTAAACCATATTGGCCCCAATCCCCGATTTCAGTGGAGAGTATTGCCCCAAGGCATGGCTAATTCACCCACCTTATGCCAAAAATATGTAGCTCAATCCATTGATCCAATCAGGGTTCAATTTCCCACAGTTTATATTGTACATTATATGGATGATTTACTGATAGCTGGAAAAACTGAGGATGAGACACAAAGAGTTGCTCAAATAATTGTTAAGGCCCTTTTGGATAGAGGATTTTCCATAGCCCCAGATAAAATTCAGACCCAATACCCCTTTTTATTTCTAGGATTTGAGTTATGTCCAGACCTTCTATATACACAAAAGATCCAAATTAGGAGAGACACTCTTCAGTGCCTTAATGATTATCAAAAACTTTTGGGGGATGTTAATTGGCTGCGGCCATATTTAAAAATAACAAAAGGAGACCTGCGCCCCCTTGAGGACCTCCTTAGAGGAGATCCTGATCCCCTCTCCCCTAGACATCTTACTAAGGAGGCCGAAACGGCACTAATTAAGGTTGAATCAGCCATAGCTCAACAATATACAGGATACTTTGATCCGGGTGCGCCCCTATATTTAGTCATCTTTTCCACAGAATTTGCACCCACTGGCCTACTCTGGCAGGAGTCGGTGCCCTTGCTTTGGGTACACCTTCCCATGGCTAAAAGAAAAATTCTCCCCACTTATCCTTCCCTGGTTTGCCAAATAGTTATGAGAGGAATAACTTTATCTACACGTTATTTTGGAAGAGACCCTAATTTTGTTATCACGCCATATGATGAGGGGCTAATCAAATGGTTGTGTACCCGTGACCCTGATTGGGCTGTTCTTATTTGCTCCTATTCCGGAGAATTTGATACACAAATGCCAAGTAATAAACTTCTTCAGTTTTTCTCCCTCACCCCTTTTGTATTTCTTAAAAATACCCAGGAAAAGCCCATCCCGACTGCCCCCACTATTTTTATTGATGGGTCAAAAAATGGCAAAGCTGCTTATGTTCTTAACAAACAACAACATGTTATAGAAACCTGCTTTAAATCAGCACAGCTGGTAGAATTGTTTGCTGCCATTACTGTTTTTGATAAATATAAAGATAGCCCTTTTAATTTGTATTCAGATAGCAAATATGTAGTTGGGGCTTTACAGACTTTGGAGATGGTTCCTATAATTCAGCCTACTACTCCTACTTTTCAAATGTTTTCTGAGTTACAAAAACTGATTCGACAGAGGTCAACACCCTTTTATGTGGGTCATATCCGTGCCCACACAGGTTTGCCCGGACCTCTGGCTCAAGGAAATGAACTTGCCGATTTGGCCACACGTTCTGTTTTAATTTCTCATTTAGAGTCTAGCCAGGTAACAGCTGCACGTGAGGCTCATCGCCTTCATCATCTTAATGCTCAGACTTTGAGGCAAAGGTTCTCAATCACCCGAGAACAGGCTAGGGAAATTGTAAAAGGCTGTAAAAATTGCCTAATGCTTTTACCTGAACCCCATAATGGAGTAAACCCTTGGGGGCTCACGCCTGGACAGCTGTGGCAGATGGATGTTACCCATGTTCCCTCATTTGGCAAAGTCAAATTTATACATGTTACTATAGACACCTTTAGTGGGTTTATCTGTGCCTCTGCCCATAGTGGGGAAGCCACCAAGGATGTTATTAATCATATGTTATATACATTTACAGTATTGGGCCAACCAAAGAGCATAAAAACCGACAATGGCCCGGGATACACTAGTAACAAATTTAAACATTTTTGCTTACAGTTAGGAATTAAACATGTTACAGGGATACCTTATAACCCACAGGGTCAGGGCATTGTGGAAAGGGCCAACCAAACGCTTAAAAACACTTTACATAAGCTACGCTCGCAAGAAACTCTGTTTCCTTTTAAAGGAAATCAAAAGGCTTTGCTTTCTCATGCTCTCTTTGTTTTAAACTTTCTAACGTTGGACGCCTTTGGAAGGTCTGCTGCGGAAAGGCATTGGCACCCAAAAACTCAACAAGGGTTTGCCCAGGCCCTTTGGAGAGATCCCATTACAGGAAAATGGAATGGGCCTGACCCAATTATCATTTGGGGAAAAGGATCTGCATGCGTTTATGATTCCAAAGAAAATGGAGCCAGATGGCTACCCGAAAGATTGGTTAAACTATATGCTAATGTTAATGATTCAAACAACAATGCCAATAAACATAATGATAAATAGGTCCAGGCATATAACCTGAGACAAAAATCTTTTTCTCTCTTTCAGATCCTACTATAAAAGATGACCTTCGCTTTGCCTGTCCACCTGACCTTTTGGATTATGCTGATGCCGGTGGTTACCACGACTAGCCCCCATGTGCCTGTTAAACAGACGTGGTCAATTGTAAACCCCAACACTGGAGAGGTCGCCAACGCCAGCTCGTCTACTCTTTATCCACCAAAAGCCTGGTTTCCAGATCTGTTTGTAGATCTTTGTGATATTATAGGGGGAGAGTGGGACCCTTCCGACCAGGAGCCTTTCCCTGGGTATGGTTGTGCCAGCCCAGGACAAAGACATAGTACTAGAAACCAACGATTCTATGTCTGCCCTGGCCATAGTCGATCTAAATCCCAACTTAAAAAATGTGGCGGACCAGGGGAAGGTTATTGTGCTGCCTGGGGGTGTGAGAGCACCGGAGCAATTTGGTGGTCTCCCCCCATTAAGGACCTTATAAAGGTCGAGGCCTGGAATAGAAACATGCAGGGAACTGGCACTTGCACCGGACACGGGGCTTGTGGACCTTGCTATGACTCCACAATATGGCCCGGCCGACCATGGGCAACCCCAGGTGGTCGGTGTAATGGATTAAAAATCAGCTTTACAAACCGGGCAAAATCAATAGATTTGTCTAAATGGACACAAGGCCTCTCTTGGGGACTTCGCCTGTACCGAACCGGCTATGACCCAGCCACAACCTTTACCATTCGGCTACAGATGGAACCTCTTTACATAGCTATTGGGCCAAATTTAGTTATTACTAATCAACAAAAACCAATAGCTTCAAAAACCAATACAACCCCCAAAATGCCTAATGCAAACGTGTCTTTGCCATCCCGGACATTGCCAACCCCAATTGTTGGCCAGTCCCATACAAATGATAGGCTTTTTAACTTAATATTGGGGGCTTACATAGCCCTAAATGCTTCAGATGCCAACAAAACACGAAATTGTTGGCTTTGTCTTGCTTCCAACCCTCCCTATTATGAAGGAATTGCATTTGACGACAGTTTTACTAATGTCTCTACCCCTGACACTAGGTGTCAGACTCAACCCCATAGACTGACACTTTCTGAGGTCTCTGGAGCAGGTCTTTGCCTGGGAAAAGTCCCCGCCACCCACCAACATCTGTGCAACAAGACTATTTCAACCTTGGGTCCAAGGGGCTTTTTGTTGCCCCCCACTGGATCTTATTGGGCCTGTAGCACGGGATTAACACTTTGTGTGGCCATTGAGGTATTTAACCACTCCTCTGAATTCTGTGTACTAATTCAGCTATGGCCTCGTGTCACTTACTATGAGGAACAAACATTTTTGCAATTATTTGAACAAAAGCTCAGGTATTCCCGGGAGCCTCTATCTGTAACCTTAGCCCTTTTGCTTGGTGCTGGCGGCATAGCTGCGGGAATAGGCACAGGGACCACTGCCCTAATACAAACTAAGGAACTTTTGCAATTACAAGCAGCTATGACCGAGGACCTTGAAACTATAACAAAATCCATTTCTGCTTTAGAAAAATCCTTAACCTCACTTTCAGAAGTAGTGCTACAAAACAGGAGAGGCCTGGATCTATTGTTTTTAAAGGAAGGAGGCCTATGTGCCGCCTTAAAAGAAGAATGCTGCTTTTATGCAGACCACACTGGGGTGGTGAGGGACTCCGTGGAAAAATTACAAAAACGTCTAAAACAAAGACATATTTTCCTCTCCAGTTGGAGTTCCGGAGCTGGGAGCTGGGTCGGGGGCGGGATCAGTCATAACTCTCTGCTGTCCACGTTACTCCCTTTCCTCGTCCCCTTAATTACCCTCCTCCTCTTCCTTGCTTTTGGCCCTTGGGCTTTTCAACGACTAACCCAGTTTATTAAAAATCAGATCAATTCGACCTTTACCAAAACCGTTTCAGTACACTACCATCGGGTAGAAACCCAAGAACAGGCTGTTGAGGCAGAGCAAGGGCTCAGGTTCAGCGCCTCACGGTCCCAACCTCCCCCCCGGGGCTAGCTAGAGAGTACTCAATGACGGGATTAGTATGGGGCCTGCGCTGGAGGCACAGCGTACAGAGGTCGTCGAGACCGGCTCAACATGGCACGCTGCCAGAAGCAGGAGGCACCCCATATAGCCTAAGACAGGGGTTCTCTCAGTCGGGCCAAAAGTCAACTCTGGCCATTTTTATAAAAGGAGGGGGAATTGTTGGAGACCCGAAACCTGCCTGAGAATGCTCTGGCCTCTTTCAAACACCTAATTGACAAGTAGCCGTTCTCAGAAATTCCAAGGTGTACATTTAGATAACTTCCTAAAACAATATTTGGCTAACCATAAATATTCCCCCAGCCCTAAGCAAACAACATTTGACTAACAATAAAACTTCTCTTATCTCCAGCCCATAGCAGACGGCGCCTGGATAACCATAAATGTCTCTTAAAGAAATCACAGGAGATACCTTTAAGATGAGCACAACAGCTAAAAGGATAAGCACGACCCATCCCTGACCCCGGGACTTCTCACCCTTGCTTCTGCAAAGTTTTTTTCATTCTTTCCCTTCCCCTGTCCCTTCGGGTATATAAACCCTGCCTCACTTTAATAAAGCAGACCTTGACACAACTCAGAACGGCTCTGTCTTTCTTAATGCGCTTGGTCTCGATCCTCTCTCGCCCCCCTTGGTTCTTTCAGGAGGTGCCCCCTCGAATCCCCCACAAAATTACCTGGCCTGCTGGACGGGTCACAGTGTGAGGAGGTTGAAGCCCTGCAAGGATGCAGACCGAAGATGCCTGGGACAGACCGATGCTCTCTAACTCTCCTTACTGCCCTGTATTACTGTTGGGGAATATGTAGAGCATTTAGATCCTGGTCACCGTCAAACAATAATGTTTTAAATCCCTGAAGTTCTGAGTGCTCTGTATACTTTCGTTTTGTTTTTTGTTTTTGTCGGTCCTGGGGCTTGAACTCTAGGCCTGGGCGTTGTCCCTAAACTCTTCAAGTCAATGCAAGCGCTCTACCTTGAGCTATTGCGCCACTTCCGGTTTTCTGGTAGTTTATTGGAGATAAGTGTCTCACCTTCTCTCCTGCCCAGGCTTGCTTGCAACCGTGTTCCTCAGATTTCAGGCTCCTAAGTTCATAGGATTACAGCTGTGAGCCACCAGTGCCTGGCTCTATCTTACTCTTTGCATCCTGAGTTCCTAAACACTTGTGACCTCTCTCAGAATTAAAAGAAAAAAATTTCACCTGTTATTTTAGACAGAATGAGGCACTTTCAATATAGCTAGGATGCAGAGCAAAGCTTCTTGGGAAAGCTGGGTGCTGTGAATTTCTCTCTGGAGGGGTGTCTCTTCCTTGGGGAAGGTGTAGAGCCCTCCTTCCCGGAGGGCCTTAAGACTGTTCTAGGGTCCCCATATTCTGAGTACTCTATCTTATCGTTTGTACCTGCGCTCCCTAACCCTGGTCACTTCTCCCAGAATTGGAAGAACAAAATTTGGACTGTTTACTGTGAATAATGCAAGGGTCATTAAGCCTTGCTAAGATTCAGAGCACAGTTGACTGGGACAGAACAATGCTTTCTATTTCTCCTAAGTGGCTTGTCTTTCTTTTGGGAAAAGTTGAGAGCACTCAGAACTTGGAGACCTTAAAACAATTTTCTTGATGTTCTCCAAATTCTGAGCACTCTCTCTTGTTGTTTGCATCCTGTGATCCCAAACCCTCCTCATCTCTCCCAGAATTGCAAGTAAAAAGGGTTGTCCAGGGGATGGTGACACCAAGAGGGGCTTTGAAACATGGCAGGATGCACACAGGGGCTGCTAGAAACCGAATGATGTTGTCTATTTCTCTTCAGGGGCTGGTCTTTCCTTTTTCAAAGGTATAGAGCATTCA